AATTCTCTTAAAGCAATGGGCGTTCCCTTGGTTACGTTATATTAATTGCCTCGCAATCACCTCACTGAATACTGGACTTCGATGTCCTACCAGATAACCAGGAGAATATATGTGTATCCAAGTACTCGTCTACAGCCGAGTTCACCCACGACAATGACAAATCACACTAACAAATCACAGTGATTTACGTTACAATCCGGTTGCTATGACAATACTGCAGAACCTAGTAAAATAACCTACAGGACATGAACCCTCTAGAACCCTGCCCCACAATGGTTTTACTGAACTGCAATCACATACGGTGATTGCTCAACACTAGCAACAATCACCATCAAATAACAACCCCCTTTGCAATAACACACACGGCAAGTACTCTAATTTCCAAATATTAGGATACTGCACACACTTACTTACTGCTGCAAATGACCCCTAGAACATAGGTCAATATATTGCAATCACCACACAGTAAATAACACATTAACACTGGGCACCGTGACACTACGATTATATATATATATATAATTACCGCTGACACATGTAGCCTACAGCTATCAAACGTTATTGGGAACACTAAGGAGAATCTCACACTCCTTAAATCACATGGGTGAGTGATTTATCGGTCACGCATGCCGATAAACACTCGAGAGTTACGTTACTCGACAGAGCGGGGGCGGTCTCTCTAGACGGCCTCGTCACTCACCAAACCTCACCAAAATTACGTTAATTAATACTGCAACCACAATATATATATTTATATAAATCACACTTGTCACGGCCCTGGGAACACTACAAGAAATTTAAGCCACACTGTGGCACACTCCACAATAATCATTGCCAGGAATCACTGGCGTTACACATACCTGAGCGCTCAGTGTTGGAATTCCACACCTGCAAGACCACACATGGAAATGATATCACTCCGTCCCACGGACGATCAAAAATGATTACCACAATGAAATAAAAGAATTTATTACATGGACATCTTCTCAGTCCTTGGCTAATCTATGTATATTCTGTGTTCCCGTGTGTACCACCCACACACACACACACACTGTACGTCTGTGTACAGACTTAAGTCCCTCTGGACTGACAAGATGACAACACAGGTGATTAATCTCCTCGCCCACAATTCACTCCACCTGAACAGGTGCTGCGTGACAATGTGACGGAACACTTGACCTCGAATTCAAGCTTTAGAGACTACTAATCACCGAAATACACACATAGGTACTTACTCATTCACACTGCCGGCTTTACACACCATTCCCATACATCAGGCACCCCGCTATAGGTGGCTGGCTCGCTCCGGGTGGCGTAGGCGGCGGTAGTTCCTGACCGTAGTACAAACACGGGAAATTGCCTTAACACTGACACGAATTTCCCCGTTCCCATCGACTGCTACAGAGCACTAGCAAGTCTAATCATCACTGGTATGGGATCTACGAGTCTGTTGCTGCTCGTATGCACATTCCCCCACGATCCCAGATCACTGTACCTCTACCCCCTGCATACAATAATGTCTTAAACCCCTCCAAGCGACGACTTCGGCCGGATTCTGTGACGACCGATGTCGTAGGTGAAGCAGGAAGCATCAGCAGTTGTAGTCCAGCCACCACGACGCCCTATACATCAATTTGGCCGAATTGAGTACAGGAACGTCTTGACAAGGTGGCGGCTGAGTTCAGAATGATGCTCACACCGGCTCTTCCCGCGTCCTTCTCGAAATAACCAATGAGAGGAAGGCATACAGCGGCCTACCCCTCTCATCCAATCAGCGACGGTGTAGCATAGCCCCTAGGGCAGCTCCAAGATGGCCGACCAACATGGCGGCTCAAGATGTTTACTAAGATGGCGGCTGTCTCCATGACAACCACTCAAGTGGCCAGCGAGCGTGGGGCCCCACATGTTTCACCCCACGCCTGCGGCCTAGGCGTTCGCGCGCAAAGTTGTCTGGCTCCATGCCATACAATGAGATGATGCTATCAGCTCTAGCACTGTCCACAGACATGCCACCCCGGCCAGGGTAACATTTATGGACTGCTGATGACTGGGGCTCTCACATGAGCCCAAACACTAGATGTTTCGGTTGCTGGTACAAAACTTAAGTCCGCCCACTTAACAAGTGCACTTAACAAGTGTACTGGCTCCCACAGGCATAAGAGCACTATTGTAAGTGAGCTGGTGAACCACCTCCTCACATGATTGTGTTTTGGTTTTGTTTACAGTCATGATGATTCAGGAAGGTGTAGTGGAGTGTTGAGTAGTGTTGTTTTATTCTTTCTTCTTGTAAACTAAGTGAGTGAAGCCTCCTCACAGTGTTAGTAGGGTGTGAGTGTGGCATTTGTTTCCAATTGTTCATTCTTGAGAGTGTACTCTAATTAGTGTACTCGTGTACTACATTAGTACACTCTAGCTGGTCAGGGGGGAGGCAGAAATGTTGTTTTTCATAATAAGGGAAATTGTATTAAGAATATCATAGTAAATAATAGAACGAATAATGTACTTTGGAATAAATAGAAGCTGCTTCATATAGGCATGCCTTGTGTCTACCTTCTGTAGCTTCCGGGGATCAACGGCCTCGCGATCCGGTCTCCAACTGGATATGGTGTTTCCAGGCGGTCACCTATCCAGGTTCTAACCCAATCCAACGTTGTTTAACTTCCCTGATCGGACGAGAAGCGGCGTTCTCAACGTGGCATGGCCGAAGTTGGCATTCTGCAGATTTCATTATTCTTCATTTTTTTCGGCTCATGTGTATCTTGTCCAGCTCCTTATGTCCATGCTTCTCAAAGGTGCTAGAGTCTCGTATATTAGTGATACCTTCAGTCCTTATGTTCAGTAGCAAAAGCTGCTACCTGTCTTAGGCGTGCATGCTAAGTTACTTATTTTGTTAATCTCTGTTTAATTTGTTTGGAATTTGCACATTTGCTGAACATTAATTTGAAGAGTGTTGGTGGCTAGCTGCCGTGCGGGGGTGGGTGGACCAGGTGTGGGCTGGTGGACCAGGTGTGGGCTGGTGGTCCAGGTGTGGGCTGGTGGTCCAGGTGTGGAAGGGTAGACCATTTGAGGGCAGGTGGGTCAGATGTGTGGGGGGGGGGCCGGATGAAGGCACATATATACTGCAGCAGGAAGGTGTTGGCAAGCCCTGTGAAACACCGACAGACTCAGACAAGTCCTGCAGCTGCCTCTTCCCTCCTCCCCCCTTCCCCCCCTCCCCCCTCCCCCCCTCCCCCTTCCCCCCATCCCCCCTCCCCCAGGAGGATCAAACAAGTGTCGTAACTTCACGTGATGAATGAGCTCATCTCAGTATACCCCACGTCACTATCAAATGTCATTCCTCTTAAGCACCATTCCTTTTCCCCCAGTCCCATCCCAAATCCTTATCCTGATCCCTTTCCAAGTGCTATATAGTCGTAATGGCTTGGCGCTTTCCCCCCCCTGATAATTCCCTCCCTCTTACATATTCGTTCTCCAACTAATAACTTAGACCGAGTTATTGAGGGAATTACAATATCATTTGTTTTTGTTTTTTTCCCTTCGGGCACCTAAACGTCAGTCAGATTGATCTTAGGATTAAGCTGATTCATGGAGACGGGTTGACAAAGGGGTTTGAAACCAGGGCGTGTGAGATTTGATCACACTTGACGTTTCTTATGGGGTTAAGAGCTCTGGCAGCGTAATATTGTATCTACTGTAGCCTGTGTGTGGGCTGTAGGCATCCCCTCTCTCCCCCCCAGACACGCCAAGGGCATACATCTGCGTTTATTTATATATTTATTTATATACAAGAAGGTACTATTGGGTTAATGAGAGTACAGACACTTGAAGTTTCACATTCTTGTAAAGCCACTAGCACGCACAGCGTTTCGGGTTTGCTTTTCGAAATTGTGGCGAAAGACTCCTTTGGCATTTGTGGGTTTAGACAGAACTTTGCATTTGGGCTATTCATACTAAATTTTTTTTATTAAAATTTGTAGTTAATTCTAAAGGTTTTAGTAAGATCTCTTCCGGTTTTGAGCGGTTTTTATATATAATCGCAAGTCATAGAACAGCAGATGTGTATTGATATTAAATATTTATAATTCTAAGTTGAATATATGCTGAAAAATATATATATATAAACAATATCACATATCTAAGCTGAGTATAATGACTTCAGATATAACAGATCAATGTGACGGGTGACTCTGTGAGTCTTCGTCCTTTAAGGCGCTTAAATTCTTTACGGAAACAAGAATACATAGTCGGAAAGCATAGTTGAACAGTAATATGTATAATATGTATTGTGTGTCTCTTAGTTATTACATTTGGCCAAAAGCGTGTCGCTGAAGGCTGCCTTTCGTTGAAGCTCTCATCAGCATGTACGGAGGCTGAGCCCGTAATGGACTTACTTGGCACAGGAGCAGGGCAAGTAGCACGGGCTATGGTGAGCCCGTAGTGGCCTCACCTGGCACAGGAGCGGGGCTGTGTGTACTACCTCTTGCGGTGGCTTAATCAATCAATCACCTGGAAAAGGTGTGGTGTGTAGGGAAAAGGCTTGTCTTGGTCTTGGGGACTTGAGGTGCACGCAACTGTATACTATGAGGTGCATGCAACTGTATACTGTGGGGTGCACGCAACTGTATACTGTGAGGTGCACGCAACTGTATACTGTGAGGTGCACGCAACTGTATACCGTGAGGTGCACGCAACTGTATACTGTGAGGTGCACGCAACTGTATACTGTGAGGTGCACGCAACTGTATACTGTGAGGTGCACGTAACTGTATACTGTGGGGTGCACGCAACTGTATGCTGATTGGTGACAGTTGGAGAAGTGTGTTTGATGTATAGTGCCTCTGCTATGTCTAATTTTCTATTGACGTTGTAAGTACTTGTACTTTAGACAAAAAGTACTTGACCCCCAGCCTGGTATGTGGTTTGAGAGTCCATACTGTGGGACTGATCTGGAGTTTGGAGTCCATGTACTAAGAATAGAGGATATTCAGAAAACGAACAGAAACGTTTGTGACTTTATTTGTCATTCTTAAACAGTAAAGCAGAATCATGTTGAACACTGAGTTAACATAAACATGGAAGAATCATGATTTACAAAACTTACTTGTAAACAGCGTGAAACTAGCATGAATGGAAGGAAAATGAAGCGTAAGTGCTAGAGTATATATGGATATATATATATATATATATATATATATATATATATATATATATATATATATATATATATATATATATATATATATATATATATTTATGTTGCATTCTTCCCACATATATGACAACAACTCGGTGCTTACTCACTGAAAAAAAGAGAAACAAAGACACAGATTTCAACATAGATCTATTGGCAGTTTCAGAGAGTCCCAGGGACTCAGGAGGCCATATAGTTTCCTCTCTGTTACTTGGATAAAACATATTGTATTGATTTGGTTTATTTTTTTTATATTAGAGGACGTCTCTGTCCCAACTCCACAACTCATTCGACCATCTTCATTAACAGTTCTTATTATGGTTAAATCTCCTAACTTGCACAGTGGTTGGTCCGAGGAATAAATAGTTACACATTCTAGTTGGAAGTTTGTTTTCACTAGTCTGGTGATGTCTTCTTCGCTGCGATGGCTGTTAATTAAGCAGTTCCAAACAGCTTTGGCCCCAGATGATCAGCAGGTTCATGACATTAGAGCTTACCGGGATGATTGGGTTCCGTTATCGTTGCTGTTGACACACTGATTGGCTGGTTGGATGAGATCACTAGTTTCGCCATGATATCAAGATCAGGAGGGGGTGGAAGTCGCCATGATATCAAGATCAGGGGGGGGGGGAAGTCGCCATGATATCAAGATCAGGGGGGGGGGGAAGGACTCGGAGGATGCAATATTAAGACATACTTGGCAAAATCTGAATTTGTATTTATTTTTGTGTTAAGAGGTTGTAATTATCCAGTCATCATCTCCATGAACTCTGAAAATGAGAACGGGAATGTGGATTCAGGAGGATAGAGCGAGTGAGTGGGCGTGGATGTTGTTGTAGTGGAGGAGCGGGAGGGTGGATGAGTCTAGTAGAAGTGGAAGGAGCAGTTGAAGCGAGTGAATTGGGAGCGAGTAGTGCGAGGCTTCAGGACAGTGGGAAGAAAGCTTTACCCGGCCATCATCGCCATGAACTCTGAAATGAAGTGGAAACGGTCATATAGTAGACGGTAGAATAGTAGACAGGTGGATAAATACAGGCATGGGTTTACAAGATTGACTGCCAGGTTCAAGAATTGAATTGAACTATCAGCGCCAAGCCATTATGACTATAGTACTTGGAAGGGATCAGGATAAGGATTTGGGGTGGGACGGGGGAGGGGGGGACGGAATGGTTCCCAATCACTTGGACGGTCGGGGATTGAACGCCGACTTGCACGAAGCGAGACCGTCGCTCTACCGTCCAGCCCAAGTGGTTGGGCCAGGTTGAAGAGCTATTAGCTCAATTCTACAGGCATATATTCCTCAAATACACAGGCATATGGGACAGATGGCAGGCAGACTGTAAGAATATGAATGAACACTTTAATGCACATAAAACAAATGATAACAGCAATTAGAGAGAAATAGATCAGACTTGAGAATTGTCAGTAGCAGAGTACCACAATATTGAGTACTAACGCCAGAAATGTACCACAATATTGAGTACTAACGCCAGAAATGTACCACAATATTGAGTACTAACGCCAGAAATGTACCACAATATTGAGTACTAACGCCAGAAATGTACCACAATATTCAGTACTATCGCCAGAAATGTACCACAATATTCAGTACTATCGCCAGAAATGTACCACAATATTCAGTACTATCGCCAGAAATGTACCACAATATTGAGTACTAACCCCAGAAATGTACCACAAGATTCAGTACTAACGCCAAAAATGTACTACAAGATTCAGTACTAACACCAGAAATGTTCGTTGTCTATATAAACGACCCTGGAGGCTTGGTCGACGACCGGGCCGCGGGGATGCTAAGCCCCGAAACCATCTGAAGGTAGCCAAGGATCCATCAGATATGATTGAGATTTAGATATATATGTTTGAAGATCATGCTAAGTTACTATGGAGAATTAATTAAAGACGCAGATTGTCATTAAAATATCCTAGACAAAATAAGTGAATGAAGCAATACGTGACAGATGGAGTTCTAATGCCTAGTAAAGGTGTGTTGAATAGTGGAAAACAAAGAAAAAGTGGTGATATGATCACCAAATATAAAATCCCAACATGATTCCACAAATTAAACAAGGGTAATTTTTTGAAACCTGCAGCTTCAAGAACAGGACATCAATTCAAGCTTAAGGAAACAAAGATGCGAACAAAATTTACGAAATTATTATTTTCCAAACAGTTTACAACAGTTTGGAACAATTTATATGATGCCAAATACAATCTGAAGCTTCAAAAATAAATCAAGCGACAAAGATGATAAAGAAAACGGGGATGCCACGAGGGGGTACCATCCTGCAATCACACTTGCTTCCAATTTGTCTCACGCATCTTACCGTCAAAGTCGAGAGTGCCGGATCCATCCTCGTCGACCTCGTCGATGATGCCATCCAGGTCCTCCTCCGTTAGCTTGTTATCCAGCTCGCGGAGGATCTCCTTCAGCGTTTGCGTCGTTATGTAGCCGTCACCTGTAAGGGGAAGGAGGAGGGGGGAAGGTACTTGCGTTAATAGACGCGAATGACTACCACCTTTGATCACCAACACTGAAATGTTGAATCTTTAAGACTAACACACAGTTCTTTAACCCTTAATAAACTGCTACGCTAGTTAAAAGTCATACATCCAGATGTGAATTGAAAAACAGTGTTGAAAGTCCAAAATGTTCAGTCGCATATGGCGATCTGAGCACAGGAGGAAATCGCATATAAGCGGTTTTAGCAGTGAAAGGCTTAAAGTGTTTTCTGATAAATAAATACATTGCTCAGCATACCAGACAGGGACCTTTAACGTCTAGTGAGACTAACTGATGCAGTTATATCGTATAAGATGCAGTTCACAATAGCGTACGTAATAACATTCATTTACTTGAACAACTTATATTCAGGATTGGTTCGTTAATGGGGTGACATTAACCCTTGACGGGGTGACCCTTGTCGTATTCATAAATGTTAACATATTGTGTATAGTTAGGTGAGGTTAGATTAGGTGTTTTCTGTTGGCGAGTTTTTTGCATTTGAAGTACGTGGGTGAAGTATTTACAGCGTTGCGATTCGAACAGAGGTTGTCAGCGAAACACTGCTCGAGAAATGTTCGAACGTCATCAATTGTGAGTGGCGTGTAATAGCCCTTCCTTATCGACAAAGGATAAATACTAATTAATCCAGCCCCCAAACCTCCTCTTTATGAATGAAAAACGGTTTACCCACGACTCACAACAGATGACGTCCGAACACTTACGGAACACGTGCTTCACTTACGTCCTCTGTTCGAATCGCAATGCTGTAAATGCTTCACCCACGTACCTCAAACGCAAAAAATTCGCCAACAGAATTTAAACACTTAACCTAACCTATGCCTAACTGTACATAGAACTTTAATATACAATAATAATAATAATAATTATATTTTATAGATGAGAACAGACTGATTTTAAGGTACAATTACGTTAAAAATGGAAAGATGCGTCTTGGGAGACGGCCGCCGCTTTAACCACCCTAGCCTGAGGACAGGTTGTATTCATGCCTAATGACTTTTAATGTTGTGTGTTCAAAGGACTTTTTATTCTTAGACAGGGGGGTTTGGCGGCTGGATTAACGAGCTTTTTGCCTTTGTTGATGAAGACGGGCTGCACTTGAACCATTGGGGAAAATTCCAAAACGCGTCTCAAAATTACGAGAAGGAAGACCAAGCCATACTTTTGAGGCCCGAGTTCGGATCTCCGATGATCCAAGTGAAGAAACAAATTGTATATGAAATTGACTATCATGGAAGGAAATTATCAGGGGGAAGCGCCAAGCCATAAGGACTATATATGGCACTAATACCATGATATGGTTGGAAATTCACCCTCTTGAGGTTATCTTGAGAGGATTTCGGGGCTTTAGTGTCCCCGCGGCCCGGTCCTCAACCAGGCCTCCACCCCCAGGAAGCAGCCCGTGACAACTGACTAACACCCAGGTACCTATTTTACTGCTAGGTAATAGGGGCATAGGGTGAAAGAAACTCTGCCCATTGTTTCTCGCCGGCGCCAGGAATCGAACCCGGGACCACAGGATCACAAGTCCAGTGTGCTGTCCGCTCGGCCGACCGGCTCTCTGATGGAATTTACACCATGATTCCATTAGGATATATGATATCATTAGGATATATTTCCCTGCGTAAAGGTTACTGTTATTGCGTGACGTCAATCATGGAACGTCGCGCTGAACGTTGTACAGTGAACGAAAAGGTCCCCCCGTTCCCCCATGTTCCCCCCTCTTTTACCTCTATTTTTATTTGTTCTCAACACATTTTATTCTTTTTACCCATTCGTATTAAGCTTTAGTCATTAATGTTTTTCCTGCCCGAAACGCTTTGCGTAATAGTGGCTTTAGGCATTGTATGTACTAGCTCTATCTATTAATCCAACAAAATTTGTAAAATCTCTTTATGTATGTACCTTACCTAAGTAAACATTTATTTATTTATTTATTTATTTATTTATTTATTTATTTATTTATTTATTGTTTAGCGGAAATGATCCACATAACCGGCGGGCCAGCGTAATGATCCCCTTGCAATAACACGTTTCCCGGCAAGTGCAACATTCACCGTTTAGGAGAACGATTACCATTCAACGAAACGTTCACCATACCACAGAATATATATTCACCGTTCAAAAGAACGTTGATCGAGCAACGGAACGTTCCCCGTCGAACGAAAAGATCACATTGTAGCTATGATTGTTGACATAGCCATCTTTGCCTCACCTTGTTTGTCGTATATACGAAACGCTTCTTTCAACTCCGCTTTCAAGGACTCTTCGTCCTCTTCTATAAGGAACTTGGCAGCTAAGGCGCAGAACTCTTCAAACTCCAACTCTCCGGAACCTGTGGATATGCAGCGGGTTTAAAAATGGGAGGTTCGGATAGAGAGAGAGAGAGAGAGAGAGAGAGAGAGAGAGAGAGAGAGAGAGAGAGAGAGAGAGAGAGAGAGAGAGAGAGAGAGAGAGAGAGATTTGTCAAAACATCAAGATCTAACTCATATCATACTGATAAAAACTTTAACAAACTGAGAACTATAATATGATACATTAAACACCTGACTAACACGTCTACACATCAGTGAAGTGACAACGTGTCGGGCCGCTGACTGGACCATTATCAAGCCTCTTTAGGCAGAGAAAGAGAAATTACATTATTAAATCAAATTGTGATTTTTTTGTTTAACTACGACAGACGAAACGAGGTTTCGTCTGTCATTAATACTTATATACCCGTTTATATTCTGTTTGGTTGCCATTTAGATAGCGAGTTTGCCCCTACTCTAACTACCATGCTTAAATGCATCTCTACCATGCCCTTATTCATGGCAACTATAAGTAATTGCCATGTAATATGGCAATTATAAATAATAAGGAAATATGCGTATCATGGAAATATTCGGCTTAGAGAGGATATTCCCGTTTCTCTCATAAGCCTGTAAAATTGTGTCGCTTTCTATTAGTATATTTGTTTTTGAAACGTTTTATTTGTTAGTGTCTTTCCCAGAATGAAAGTATTCAGTGTAACAAGTACAAAATGTAATTGCACAAAAACGTTGTTGTACTTATTAAATAACTAGTTGTTCAGTCCCTAATATTTCAGGTCTTTCTCTTTGCTTCAAAAATGCAACTCTGGTAAGTGAATTATTCTTACACATGGGCTACTGTATCTGTCTTATACAGGGCTACTGTATGTCAGTCTTATACAGGGCTACTGTATCTGTCTTATACAGGGCTACTGTATGTCAGTCTTATACAGGGCTACTGTATTTCAGTCTTATACATTGCTACTGTATATCAGTCTTAAACAGGGCTACTGTATATCAGTCTTATACAGGGCTACTGTATTTCAGTCTTATACATTGCTACTGTATATCAGTCTTAAACAGGGCTACTGTATATCAGTCTTATACAGGGCTACTGTATTTCAGTCTTATACATTGCTACTGTATATCAGTCTTAAACAGGGCTACTGTATATCAGTCTTAAACAGGGCTACTGTATATCAGTCTTATACAGAGTTACTGTATTTCAGTCTTTTTTGCCCAGTCTTGGCAAAAAAAACTTGTCTCCTTTTAGCTACCATTTAGCAGTTTAATTCTCTTTTATAATTAAAAAGAGCTTTCCCCCCATCTATTTCTCTTCCTCCTCCTCCTGATCTTCTCTTCTTTCCTCCTTGACTTACCGTCTTCGTCGACCTCGGAGATGATTTCCTGAAGGTTCTTCTCGGAGACCTTGACACCCATCATCCTCAAGATGGTGGTGATGGTGTCTACGTTGATGGATCCCTTCTTGTCCGTGTCGAAGGCATCGAAGGCCTTCCGCAGACCTGCATCAGAGGGTAATTAGTGTGAAGATGCCGCTAGATTGAGAGGACATTTGGGTTAATTGAGTGACCATTTGCGATAGTCATATCTTGTTACTAATTCTCCAAATTCTGTGTCAATTACGCTCTCTCATGTTCATTTGATGCTAATTGATTTGAGATTCGATCTTTGGGCAGTCAAAAGATCTCCGTACATCAATGCTAAGTTTAATTCTCGTTTTCTACTGGTCTCTTCTTGATCAAGGCCTTATGGTAAACTTGCGTAGATCTTTGTCTCTGGTATAAGCTATAGCACGTGCTTAGTAAGCCGTTCGTGGCTCACTCTCAGCTTATATAGTCTAAGGGCAACTTTTACAGCTTAAACCTCAGATGCTGTGACGCCACGAGATGCTGTGTCATCTGTGTTATCGTCACGAGATGCTGTGTCATCTGTGTTATCATCACGAGATGCTGTGTCATCTCGGAAGATCAACTCGTCACGGCTACCACCATTAAGAGCAAGTCATAAGGTGTGGTACCTGGTATAGGTGTTTAATTCTCTACCCTAAATAGTAATTGATTAATGCAGGTAGTAATTGTGCAAGAATTTATTTATTGCCTACTTAGGTAAACTCATAGTGAAGATTTAATATAAAGAAAGGTCTTAAAGGATGGAGATATATTGTAATAATTTATCCTAGCAAAATATCTAAACATGTAAAAACTGACTGAAATATTTCGACAAGTTTATATTTATTTATTTTAAACATGACTAACTGCATTAGCAAATAATATTAAACATAATTATTGGCCAGGATTATTATATTCAATTTACTTGAAGAACATTTTGACGAGTCTAATGGGTCTTATAAAGTACTTAAACGTATTATTATGCAGGTTCCATACTGCATTGTGCAAGTGACTTGTGTGAGTAGAATAACACTTTACTGAAAGACTTACTTGTTCGGGGAAATTCACACACATACGTTCTGGTGTGAACAGAAGTTACATATGTACCTCTGAACAGTAGCTATAGTTAATGCTAAGGGTGTAGCTGTGACAGGTGTTCGCATTTGTCGTAGAGACTTTTGGATATCACTCATATCATATGAATGTGTTTGTTTAATATAAACACATTGGGGGTAGGAAAATAGGAGGTTTTAAGGGTTTTAATATGAGGTGTGAGTAGGACTGGTTTTGATAGTGGTGTTTCGTAGGATAACCCAAACCGAACTGGTCCTTTTTGTAGTATTAAATAGAACCGTTGTAATAACTAGAAAAAATTCTAACACCTGTATTGTTGATGTATGTATCGAGCTGGTTCATCAACGTTGGTTCTCTGGTGTTGGCAAAATAGCTTTTGATTAATCATTATTGTTATGACTCCCGTGAATCAAGGAGCGTCACGCATACTCGATGTGCATAGTTGTTGTGCAATAAGGCAAAAAGATATATAAACATTATTTGCAACAGAGTACATGCCAATATGCTCTTGCATCCCATTGCAATGCAGTGACACAAGATATCACAAACACACACACACAAGAAGCTTGCTGTGAGAAGCTTTCACTGTGAGACAAGTAACATGGTAACGCATAGAACAATCAAGCAAGCAAGCAAGCAAGCAAGCAAGCAAAAACATTGATGATTATATGAAGCTTTTGTATTTCTCCAGCTTAATACAAAGCTTACACGATCATCATATTCATCACGTGTCATAACTAATCTCTCCTTCCTAATGCATAATTACCTGAATACATGAGAGAGTGGTAAGTAGCTGTGATACATAAGGATGTAACAGACCACTGTTACATAGTTACATATCTAAAATAATTGTAACACACTAAAGAGCCCATTCAGCTGTAGCTGTAATATAATAAAGGGTCTTTATAGCACTACAGCCATTACTAACTGGAGATACAATCCAACTATTATTCTTGTATTATACAATAGAGATGAACCCTAATACATCAAAGAGCTGCTACAGTTTCCATTCACCAAGTGAATGAATGGCTTATGACTCTCAGAATTGACTCTTTTATGACTCTCAGAATTGGAATTCATAATACGCCAATTTAACACACACACACACACACACACACACACACACACACACACACACACACACACACACACACACACACACACACACACACACACACACACACACACACACACTCTTTTAAACAAATTTCATCTCTGAAATTCCTCTCAATCATCCTAAAGCACCATTATAAAACTCACCTCATCTCAAATCTAAATCTGGAAAAATTACCAACTCTAAATCGGTCACCAAAAAGCTGAATGAATGAATGAATTAGCAAGAGTCCCCAAAATCTCTATGACACGTGATAAATGTCTACGGTCATAGAGGCCAGCGTGGCAGAGTTGAAGTGAAGATGCAACAGCCAGCCATAAATGGCGTCTTGTTAGAGAGCTTAGGAAGCGTCAAGCTGAGCTAGACATGGAGAGACGTGAGCTGAAGACGAAGGTGGGGGAGGCGTACCATCGATCTGGGCCTTGTCAAGGCCATCCTGTAACAGAAGAGGGAAGCTCAACACACACGTTCATCAAAGAAAAAAATTGATGCACTGGAAAGCCGAGAACGGCGTTGGCATAGAGTGTCATGCGCTTATCGTTTACATAGATGATAGGATGAAGGTAATTTTACCGGAAGATAACGCTAAGCCATTTGGACTCTATAGCACTTGGGACAAAGAGCTGTGATATCAGGGCGGAGTATAGGCATGTTGCCCAACCACTTGGACCGTCGGGAATTGAACGCCGATCCCGCAAGGAGTGAGGTCGTCGTTGTACCGAGCATTCAAAGTGGATGGATTTGACAGATCATAAATATATGTAAAGCTCGACATTCTGGCGAGGGAAATCTTTCAGCGAACGGGTTGTGGTACTCAGATTTACTCCTGGCTTTAAAAATCTGAATAAGGGGCAACATTCCCATTCTGGCTTTACGCCAAAACAGATTATGAATCGTCTTACCGCAAGCTAGAACACAAGACACGAAATTTAGCTCCATAGTGCCCCCATCTATACTCCCATATCTGAAGGAACGTGTTATTAAAGATTCCTCATTCATTTGTAAATGGCGATTTCTCTCAAATCAGACTGTTAAAGCTCAGGATCCATCTTAGCCCACTTGCCAGTGGTGGACACGGGCCTACAACACCAGTTTAGACACACACAAGGAGAAAGATTGGTGTGTGGGGCAGGTGGTAGTGGAGGAGGAGGAGGCAGGGGGCTCCCTGTGTTAGCCTGCCTCAACCCTTACCGTTGATCTGGTCTTTGTCCAGCGAGTCCTGTTGGGGGTATAATTTCAGGTATTAAAACCTACATTTTTCAAGGATCATTATTGGTATTATTGCTATGTATATATGTATATACATATAGCAATAAGGATCAACGATGCTGATATTAAAAGCAAATGAAACACATTGAAATAGAAGAGACGTGTTTGTGGGTTTTTGGACACTTTACTTGACTATTTTGTCTTGGAAAAAATTTACATTTTGTCGTTGACAATGGTCACGTAATGTGTCTGAAAGCGCTCAGACGATTCTCCTATTTCAATGGGGTGTATTTTCATAAATATACATCAGATTGATATAATGCATATCACAAACCTTCATGACATCAAACATAATTTAATACAAACATCCTCGAGCTCCTCCCGGGCGAGACGCGTGCCCAGGGAGCAGCGAGCATTCCCTCTCTGAACACCAACACTCAGGCGCTGAAACCAGGAATGTGTTCCTCTATGGTCTTTACCTATCCTAATTAGGTTATCTGCTATTTATTTATAATATCAATGAAACCACACATAATATCACGAAGCAAATATTACCAAGAGACCTTACCTGGGCTCGAACTCCCAACCAAATTGCTATGATTGCTAGTTCGCCTCTCTTTCTACTCGTCCAGCGATTCCACAATCAGTTGGGAATCCACCAAAGGATTCAATGACACGTTATCAAGTTTTTATCAGCTTTCAGAACGTTCTGCACCATTCTCAGGATGACACATTGCTTAGATCACATATGATTTCTTCAAAATCTATGCCATGTGTTAATATTAACAGCCATAAAAACTAGATAAAAAACTTACCAGCATTAGAAAACAGGATCAAACAAAGGACAGCCGCCATAGCAGCAAAACTTGTTGGAACCACCGCCAGACTCTCAATCAAAGACAGCATACACAGATCGCTTCAGAAAAACCTTCAATATAGAACAAGTGTATGGGCGGATAATCTGGTCAAGATTCTAGAGAAAGTGGACTTGAAATGGACCATTAAAATCAAAGGAGAAAGATAGACCATATCAACACTTTCGGCAGTCTCCTCCATGGGAAGAATTGAGTCTAAAGATAATCATTGAAAGATTACCAGTTAAAAAATCAGCATGTGACTCGCAGAGGCTCAAAGCTGTCATAGAACAACAAATGGAAACCATCTCAAGACCTACAACGACTCACATCTTCACAGACGGATCAGTTGATCAAGAAAGAGGTTCTACTGGGGCAGCAGATTACACTACGAACCATGGTTACTGGAGGATGAATAGTGGGTGCTCAACATTACCGGAGATACTTGTAACCGAGTCTGAGCCGAGCAGTTGTAACATCTAGAAGTCTACTGATTTTATTGGATGAACCATAGATGTGTGGCTCTTCTGGCATGATAGTATGATGATAGATGGAATTACTGGTGTCAATTTCACTTTGCCTCAGATCTACAAGATCTTGTTGAAGTTCTCGGTGTACTGCTGCTCTCACATTGCTCATTGACATCCATACTTAGTTAAACACAAGACAAATTTAAAGAAGATTCAGCGGTATGCCACCAGACTCGTTCCGGAACTGAGAGGTATGAGCTACGAGGAAAGGCTAAATGAGCCACTGAGACATTAGAAAGAACTTTTTCAGTGTTAGAGTAGTTAATAAATGGAATGCACTAGGAAGTGATGTGGTGGAGGCTGACTCCATACACAGTTTCGAATGTAGATATGACAGAGCCCAGTAGGCTCAGGAACCTGTACACCAGTTGATTGACAGTTGAGAGGCGGGACCAAAGAGCCAAAGCTCAACCCCCGCAAGCACAAATAGGTGAGTACACACACACACACACACACACACACACACACACACACACACACACACACACACACACACACACACACACACACACACACACACACACACACACACACACACACACACACACACACACACACACACACACACACACACACACCTTGTCTGCACTGCTTCCGTGTTGAATATGCAGCAAAAACTGTGAATTCAGCGCAGCGTTTTCTGTAATTGGAGGTGGCAAGGAAGGAGGGGAACACACTTATAACTCCCCCCGAGGCCTGAGAGCCTCGCCAAGTATAACACAAGTGATGGCCGACACAGGTGGCCCAGTTTACCAGAGGTTGTTCTGCCCAGAGCAAACAGATGGCGTTTGCTGCCACCTGGCGACCCGATACTGGAGGTGGTCTGACGAAGAGCGATGGGAGAGGAGACAATTTGACAGCGATGGAAGAGATTTGAACAGATGATTTTAATGAGGGGAGGGGGGGGGGGTTGTGGGTGGTGTGGGGTGTTTTGTGGGTGGTGTGGGGTGTTTTGTGGGTGGTGGGGGTGTTTTGTGGGTGGTGTGGGGTGTTTTGTGGGTGGTAAGGAGGTGTTTTTCTTCGAGTAGTGTAGGTGCCTTTTCTGGAGGCACTCTGCTGTTTTGAGTGGAGTATAATAGTGTTTGATATTGATGAAGTTGTTTTATTTTTGTAAATACGGGGGGGGGGGTGGGGGGTAATTTTGCTTTTGCTCGCAGTAGGTTGTTGGATTTGATGGTGTTTGTGTGTGTGTGTGTGTGTGTGTGTGTGTGTGTGTGTGTGTGTGTGTGTGTGTGTGTGTGTGTGTGTGTGTGTGTGTGTGTGTGTGTGTGTGTGAGACGTTTGGCATGTCTTAGTGCGTTGTGAGTAGTGGGGGGTTTGTGTTCTTGGTGTTGTTACAGGTGGTTGGGCACGTCCGAGGGATTTTGCAGCACTTTTCGCGCTTAGTGCGTGTGTTTTGCGGACGGTGAGGGTGTTTGCTAGTGGTGATAGCGGTGGTTTTTGTTGTGGTGAGTGTTTCCTTGGACAGTGGAAGTGTTTTAATGTAATTTATTGGGTAGTACGAGTGTTTTTTTTTTCTAGTACGTGTTTTTCCCCCCCTGCCAAAACCACCACCCTCACCGCCTCCACCACTTCACCACCCTAATCACCACCGCCAACACCCCCCCCCCACCATTTGCATAAATACAAATCATATTTTCCTCCTAAAACGCCTTCAGATATTACGTTCACTTTATTTCTTGCATCACTTGGTTCCTTTTCATGCCAATAGAGATAGATAGATAGATAGAGAGAGAGAGAGAGAGAGAGAGAGAGAGAGAGAGAGAGAGAGAGAGAGAGAGAGAGAGAGAGAGAGAGAGAGAGAGAGAGAGAGAGAGAGAGACAGAGAGAGAGAGAGAGACACACACACACAGAGACAGATATATAACACATCACCTCCAATGTAACAAAATATACCAATTAATGTTTCAGACCATATGATCGTCTCCGTGACATGAAATGGTGATGATGTATTGCTAATGGTGTTTGATTGAACCAATTGTATCGCGCGTATGTAACCCTTGCGGTCATGTGTCTCAAAGTGGAGATCTCTCTGCCAAGTTGACAGGATGGACTGATTCCGTATTGAGGCAGCCTCGGGGCTTCCTCACCTCTCCCTTGCCTCTGCTACAGGTAGACACCAGGTAGACCTACTCATTGTCCAGTTACCTCATCTATGGACGAAGTCTCTAAGTCGTCGTATTTCATTATAGCTTGAGCAACTTGGCTTACTTAAAGCATAAATTTACAGTTCTGAAGAAACGATAGATATATTTCACAAGATAGATTATTTTTTAAATATATATATTGTATATATATATTTAAAAATTGTAGTTAAGTGTTAGGGAAAATAGTAGTTTTCATGTAATACGACTTACACCAAAAAAATCGTGATTTGATTTTCCTGCAGCTGTGAGAATGCTCTGAGCAACTTTCCTATAGCCAAAAGAACGCCTAGCTTGGGCCAGTTAAGACGCGATAAGTGTCTCACTCTCCTCTCAACAAGTGGTAATTGCCTCGGTGGCATCATTAGTCTCATAGTTAGTTTTGTGTTCATATAAGCCACTTGAATGGGCATGGCGATGAACCGAAAAACAAAATGACGTTTTTTGCTTTTACATACAAGGACACTTTATTATTAAGTGTGGTTTCGATAGTTGTTTATTTCAACTTACAAGTGGTTCATACGTCTTGTCGCGCAGCCAAAACTGCTCCTTTCTGTCTAATTTAATTTAACTTGATCGTCTGGCTTAAACACGTATCTCCGTTCTATATAACACTGCTCAAATAAAACAATTCACATGATAAACTTTAATCTACCTCTCGTGGGCCATTCAATTGAAAACACTAATCAAGTACACTATACAGCACTTGGAAGGTTAATGATAACAGGTATCTGGATTATGAGGACAAGGATATGAAAAGAATCTGGGGATAGAGAGAGAGAGAGAGAGGAGGAGAGAGAGAGGGAGCTGAGATAGAGAGAGAGAGAGAGAGAGAGAGAGAGAGAGAGAGAGAGAGAGAGAGAGAGAGACTAGTCAGGGGAGGATATCGAACCCCGGCCCACAAGAAGCGAAGCCGTTGCTGTAGCGAGGAGCCCAAGTAAATATGAGAGGACTGCGCTCCCCTCTGACCCAGAAATAGCTTACGGTGCAGACCTGAGTGAGCATTTCACGGCTTGAGCCCTCCATTACCCTCTCTAGTGCTCTGTGTTTCCTCCTCACCCACGCTAGAGCTCCTAAATCACCTTTTCTTGCATCAACGCATCAATAACCTTCCGGAAGGAAGCATCAATTGAAATGAACGCATTTTAATCCTATTGTTTTTGGGGATTACATTCGCGGATAAATCCGGGTGGGTGAGTGGCGCTGCTTCGCACGGGCAAGACGAGGAGGTGATTCACGCGACTTTGTTTATGTCTGGAAGGAAACATGTGCTTGCTGTGTTTATATCTGGAAAGAAACACATGATGGCATTGTTTACAGCATCTTTCAGCCTCGGCCCCATATAGCAAACTGATAACATCTTCGGCACGTTTCTTGCTCTGCTAAATGAGACAGGATTGACAGTTGTCGCTAGTCAAGATAAATTAGACTTTTTTTATGAATTAATAACATTAAAAAAGGTTTAGTTTCCAGTTTCATTTG